AGAAGGTCAGATCGGTGTCTGAACAACATGAGGCGAGTAAATGATGACAGAATGATTAGTTTTTGGCTGAACGATCAATAACACCAGCAATAACAAATCATCTGTAACCCAACACATGGGACTAAGAATATATTCAGTATAGTGTGTGTGTGTGTGTGTGTGTGTGTGTACAGTATGTGTGTGTGTGTGTGTGCGTGTTCATCTTCATGACGTCATCAGAGCTCAGTTTTAATCAGCCTTCATGTCTTTGTCTCTTTATTATTAGTTACCGACTCGTTTCTGGTATTTATTTCTCTGGTTTCCGTTCAGAGCTGAGAAAAGCAGCAAACCACCTACAGCACGATATCAGCGCTCACATCAACCTCACAGATACACACACATACTGTACACACACACACACACACACACATACTGTACACACTCAGTGCTTTGGAATTGCAAGGAAGTGACATCATGATTTACTTCTGTGTCTGATGTATACAAGTGTGTTTAGTGTTTTGCAAATCACTGTGTGTAATGTTTTGCAAATAGTGTGAAGCTGACAATGTGCTTACAGTTGTGCAAATCTAGCCTTGTGTTTTGCTCCTTGAGTGTAAGGTTTTGCTAATTGTTGGAAAAGTTTAATTTTAGTGTGTAAGCAATCGTAAAAAACTGTAATCTCCGGAGCATTATTCTAAAGTGTTACCAATAATTGTATAAACTATAAAGCTCCAATCAACACTCCACAACTTACACAATCATCTTTATTTGTCATTTTTATTTTCTCAGTGCAGCAGCTGCGTCATTAAAACCTCAACCTGGTTCATTCAGCTGCTGAGTTAAATCATTCTGTACGAGATTAAAGACTAAGATTAAAAAATGAGACGCTTGCACATCAGAACATGAGAAGTTCGTATGAACTGTGAAAATAACAAGATTACGAGCATAAAAGCGTGAAAGCACACAGTCTCGAACAGAAAGCACAGTATTTGACATGCTGATGTTTCCATCATGAGTTTCCGATGTTTCTGAGCACAACTTTCCACATCAACATCAATGATATATAAAGCTTTACTGTGGAACAAACGAGTAAGAAACGCTATGAATCACCAGAGTTTGGTTTACAGTAAAGCTGTCTGTGAGTGCAGACGTCTGGACAGCATCTATCTGATTCCCGAGTACACTGCATTGTTGCGCGTCTTTGGATCCAGAGGCTGGAAAACAACACAGACACCATTTAAATCGGTCAGAAAGTTTAGAGTGAATCACCTGAAGCCGCTCGAGCTTGCGTTCTACAGTGTAGAGTAGAGCAACTCTATTCACTGAACCCCAGCAGCTCCAAAACATCATTCACTCGATCACACTGATGTCGTCACTCGCAGATCTAGTTATCTAGGTTACTATAGCAACACTGGAACACTAGGTTGCTATAGCAACACTGGAACACTAGGTTGCTATAGCAACACTGGAACACTAGGTTGCTATAGCAACACTGGAACACTAGGTTACTATAGCAACACTGGATCACTAGGTTACTATAGCAGCACTGGATCACTAGGTTACTAAAGCAACACTGGATCACTAGGTTACTATAGCAACACTGGAACACCGAGATACTGACCAATCACAACGCACCGGAACTGTTTTTCGCACTCAGCGTTAGAAGCTGAAAGATTCATTAATATAATGTAAAAAGGTTCCCATACATACCGCATAGTCCGGGTTTGGAGGCAGAGGAGGGTTTTCTGATCGCGAATTTGATGCTGTGAATTAAAACAAATAAAACGATGACATTTGTTTTTACAATCAGAGTTCTGAAACAAATTTACTGTAGGATTTACCTTCAAACAGTTACAAAAAACAACTAGCAACACATTAAACTTGAAATTTTTGAAGTGGAAAGACTGAAGCAGTATTTTCTTATAAAAGACGCTCCAAAAAATCTTTGTATTCTAAAAATATTTTTTCCAAAATGGCAAAATACACACTCAGATCAAGTCGTTCTTCATCACACTAGCAACAAAACACTCAAAACAATGAGCTAAAAACAGCTCAAATCTCACACTGTGTGCTTCTGTAAATGTCTTTATAAAGCAGGAGTGTTTCTCGTTTTCATTACAGCACAGCATTATCCCTCAGTTTTGTAGAAATGAGAATGAAGTTGAAAGACTAGCGCTGTGTAGGTGTTCAGCTGCATCCAGTAGTTTTAGGAGTATTTCGTTCTTTAGATGTGTAATGTGTTTCACTCTGGTATTACTGTAGGAATGCGTCAGATTTCTATCTGGTTGAGTTTAGTGTTGAACTGGTTTGTGACGAGCGTGTGAACGTGTGAAGTGTCCCGTAGACTGATTGTGTTTTGGAGTGAGATCAGAGTTGATGTGGTGTATTTACTGTACCTCTCTTGTGTGTGCCGCCAGAGTTCTTGTTAGCAAAGCTGAAGCCGATGAGAATAACTAGTCCTGTGATCAGTAAATCACCAAATATGATGACCGTGGCCTTCACCCTGCTCAGCTCATAGCAGTTCTCACACACTGCCGGAGAGAAAGAGTGAGAGGATTAGTATTAGTATTATTATTATAATGCACATTCTGGGTGATGAAGAGAAGTGTGTTTCAGGACGAAGGCTCCTCACCCTGTACTCTGAGGTAGAACACATGCGTTATATCACCATATGTACAGCTGTAGAATTCTTCAACTCTTCCCTGATCAGCTTTAACTTCAAGGGTTGCATTGGTTTGGGCTGCAATTTCGTTTTTGTCCTTCAACCACTTTACTGTACCATCGACACCTCCAGAGCAAAGGATAACGACACCATCTGATTTGATCTCGTGTATTTCTTTGACAAAAAAGATGAAATGAGCAAACAACATAAGAACCGTGAAACATCACGTGAAGCGTTCGTTCTCATCAGCTCGGATAATAACTGCAGATGAAGGATGAACTGATCTCACCTTGACTCTGAGCTGGATTCACAGCCGCGGCGAGCAGCAGACACATGAAGCTGACGAGAATCATGGTTTCTGATGCTTTAATGTCCTGAAGTGAATGTGAAACGGTCTCACATGCAGCGTCTCTGTCTCTCTGTGTGTCTCGGAGTTTCTCTACAGGAAGAGGAAACCTCAAACGCCTTTCAATTGCCCTCATTCTCTTGTTCTGCTTTGTTTTATCATCTGATCCATTCTCTGAGAAACTCTTCAGGCTCCTCTATAACTTCATTAAACTCAAATATATCAAATATATATACTGTATATGAAAACCTTCTGCATCGCTCAGACCATTAAATCGTCGTCTCTTGCATGTTTCTGTGAGATAATAGAATTGAACTTTATTTCTACTGTGAGCCCCAAAAAGCTCTAAAAGGATGATGTCTTTTTTTAGACTTACAGCACTGAAAAGAAAAAATAAAGTGAAGTTAATGAAAAGATCCTGCAGCATTCGAGAAACTCGATCTGTAGATACAAATATCTATATTATTTCTTATTCTATTTCACATCTATATCAACACATGTAGGCCAGTACACACACACACACAGGTTTGTTTTTGTGAAAAGTGGGGACTCTCCATAGGCGTAATGGTTTTTATACTGTACAGACCGTATATTCTATTGCCCTACACCAACCCTACCCCTAAACCTACCCCTCACAGGAAACTTTGTGCTATTTCAGATTTTCAATACACTCCATTCTGTGTGATTTATAAGCGTTTTGAAAAGTGGGGACATGGGGTAATGTCCTGAAAAGTCACCTTCTCCTTGTAATACCTATGTCATACCCTTGTCATTATACAAATTTATGTCCTCATTTGTCACAAAAACGCGCACACTCACACACACTCACTCACTCACACACACTCACTCACACACCTGTTTGATTAGTAGCTGCTGGTGTGTTTGCTGACAGTCTATCTGCATTTGCTGGAGAGTGTGTGTGGTAGTGTGTGTGAGTGTGCGAGTGAGAGTGTGTGTGTGTGTGTGTGTGTGTGTGAGTGTGCGAGCGTGTGTGTGTGAGTGTGTGTAATTCAAAAGGCTTAAAAACCATACTAAATGGTGTTTTTTTGAAAATCTAAGAATGCAGAAAGTTTTCTGTGAGGGGTAGGTTTAGGTGTAGGGCGATAGGTTTTTATACTGTACAGACCGTATATTCTATTGCCCTACACCAACCCTACCCCTAATATAAATCATACAGAATTAAGTTTTTTTGAAAATCTAAGAATGCAGAAAGTTTTCTGTGAGGGGTAGGTTTAGGTGTAGGGCGATAGGTTTTTATACTGTACAGACCGTATATTCTATTGCCCTACACCAACCCTACCCCTAAACCTACCCCTCACAGAAAACTTTCTGCATTTCTACAATCTCAAAAAAACTTAATTCTGTATGATTTATAAGCTTCTGTACCCCTGGGGACCTCAATGTAGGACCCCACAGTGACACAAGTCCCCATGAGTCTGTGTGTATTCAGGTTTAAATCCCCACCAGTGTAGAAAACCCTATTCACACTCAGACACTACCGTGTAAATGGATGCGAGAATGAACAAATGCTTGTTGATTTGAGAGAATGTGTTCGGTTGTATGTTGTGGGTTGTTCATTCTGTCATTATAGTGACACTGGAGTCACTGAAGCGCATCGGCGCCCTCTAGTGTTCAGAGCGCTGCAGCTGTCACGTGATCGACTCTCGCGCTTCGCATTTCAGTCCTTTTCATAAAACTCATTTCTCCTTAGTAAAGAAAAGGTCTAAAGACTAAAGCAGCCCTCATCTCAGAATACCCAAAATCACGAGAGCACATGTGATGCTTTCAGAATTCATTTAAATTCTTCGATTTATCTGAGCTCAAATAGCTGTCATTCAATTGATTTAATGAAAATGTGATCGATTGTCAATATAATCTGACATAAAATCCTTTCAGACACAGAGAGAGTTTATATCACACTGATGTATCATAACTGAACTCATAGCCTATATCATAACTGATGTGATATAAATTATGAAGTAGCACATGCATATGTGCACTTTTAATACTGAGTTTTAAGAGCTTAACAGGTGTTGTGACAGTGATAGTGATTTTGGGCTGTTTTTTCAGTCAGTAGTGTAACTTCCGGTCTCACCTGTTCGGCAGGTATCAAACATGGAGGACAAATACAAACCAGCGACATAAACGCGACTAATATTTGCTCAGATATCTGCTGATATTCACTCATAATCCCTCGCATGTGATCATATATGTCCAGTTATTTGTCATGGATGTGAACGGAAGCTCGTTTAAAGGAGGTTTATCGTGTCTTGTCGTCGGTTTCGGTGAGTTCTGGGAGTTTTTATTCGGTCAGTTTGAAACGGGATAATAAACTGTTTGAACGTATTTTATAAACGGGTTTGAGGGAGTTTATGGCTTCGGAAGGACTATAAATGTGTAACTTTGTGTCATTTGAGATCCGTTGAGTTTGTTTTGCTTTCTGTTTGTGTGAAAAGACGAGCTGTCAATCATCTGCCGTGTGTAAATATCCATATGTGACAACCACCGACAGATCAGTAACAACGATTGCGCTGAATTCTGCAGTCGACTGAATATTTAGTTATATAAATCTTAGCATTCAGTTCATATGACTGTATTTTTCAACAGTTAAAGTGCCACTGATGTCTTTTTATTTACATTTATTTACATGTTTACATTAGAGTTTAGATGAGATGAGACATGTGACGTCACGCTGTGAGATCACGGCGTGTCCCAGAAGTGACGTCATCCGATGATCTGAAGCTCTTACACACATTGATGCTGTTTTATTTACTGGATCTTCAGTCATCTGTGTTTCTGGTTCTGCTCGTATTGCAGATGCATGAACTGACTAGTCTTAGAAGATAGCAGTGCTTTTTTTCCCTGTAAGACTAGTCATAACTTTTTAAAGTAAATTACATAAATAGATTGGTCTAATTTAAATCCAAAAACTATGACTAATTATATATGTGACAACCACCGACAGATCAGTAACAACGATTGCGCTGAATTCTGCAGTCGACTGAATATTTAGTTATATAAATCTTAGCATTCAGTTCATATGACTGTATTTTTCAACAGTTAAAGTGCCACTGATGTCTTTTTATTTACATTTATTTACATGTTTACATTAGAGTTTAGATGAGATGAGACATGTGACGTCACGCTGTGAGATCACGGCGTGTCCCAGAAGTGACGTCATCCGATGATCTGAAGCTCTTACACACATTGATGCTGTTTTATTTACTGGATCTTCAGTCATCTGTGTTTCTCGTATTGCAGATGCATGAACTGACTAGTCTTAGAAGATAGCAGTGCTTTTTTTCCCTGTAAGACTAGTCATAACTTTTTAAAGTAAATTACATAAATAGATTGGTCTAATTTAAATCCAAAAACTATGACTAATTATTCCTTGGTGAGTTGCTAGTTGTTGCTAGTTATAAAGACTAGTTATGTATGTGTTCATACAGCTGGCCCCTGTTACGTAACTGAGTCTAGTCAGTCTAGTGAACTGAGATTTAACTATGTTCACTCATTTACAGCTCTAGTGTTAGATATGATATCAGAGAATTTGCAGTTTATGACTTTTATTGTTCTGAGGAACTGAACATTAGATATGACAGGTATCTGTCATCACCGTTTACAACATAACAGTATACACTAATGAACTACACTGAGAGTGAGTGATGCAACAAAACTCAGACCTTACAGCCACACAAGGCAATGAGAGAGTGTGTGTGTGTGTGTGTGTGTGTGCGCGCGCAATGAGTGTGCTCAGTAAGTCTGTACTTTGTGTGTGTACATTGAGTAGTGTGTGAAGACTGAGTGTGTGAAAATCAAGTGTGCACAGTGCGAACAGTGAGTGTGTGCCGTGAGTGTGAGATCGCCAAATGTGTGCAGTGAGAGTGTGAGTGTGAACACTGAATGTGTGCTTTGAGTGTGAACATCGAGTGTGTGCAGTCAGTGAGTGTGAGTGTGCAAACAGAATGTGTGCAGTGAGTGTGTAAACAGAATGTGTGCAGTGAGTGTGTAAACATCGAGTGTGAGCAGTGAGTGTGCAAACACAGAATGTGTGCTTTGAGTGTGAACATCGAGTGTGTGCAGTCAGTGAGTGTGAGTGTGCAAACAGAATGTGTGCAGTGAGTGTGCAAACAGAATGTGTGCAGTGAGTGTGCAAACAGAGTGTGTGCAGTGTGTGTGCAAAAAGAAACAGAATGTGTGCAGTGAGTGTGCAAACAGAATGTGTGCAGTGAGTGTGCAAACAGAATGTGTGCAGTGAGTGTGCAAACAGAATGTGTGCAGTGAGTGTGCAAACAGAATGTGTGCAGTGAGTGTGCAAACAGAATGTGTGCAGTGAGTGTGCAAACAGAATGTGTGCAGTGAGTGTGCAAACAGAATGTGTGCAGTGAGTGTGCAAACAGAATGTGTGCAGTGAGTGTGCAAACAGAATGTGTGCAGTGAGTGTGCAAACAGAATGTGTGCAGTGAGTGTGCAAACAGAATGTGTGCAGTGAGTGTGCAAACAGAATGTGTGCAGTGAGTGTGCAAACAGAATGTGTGCAGTGAGTGTGCAAACAGAATGTGTGCAGTGAGTGTGCAAACAGAATGTGTGCAGTGAGTGTGCAAACAGAATGTGTGCAGTGAGTGTGCAAACAGAATGTGTGCAGTGAGTGTGCAAACAGAATGTGTGCAGTGAGTGTGCAAACAGAATGTGTGCAGTGAGTGTGCAAACAGAATGTGTGCAGTGAGTGTGCAAACAGAATGTGTGCAGTGAGTGTGCAAACAGAATGTGTGCAGTGAGTGTGCAAACAGAATGTGTGCAGTGAGTGTGCAAACAGAATGTGTGCAGTGAGTGTGCAAACAGAATGTGTGCAGTGAGTGTGCAAACAGAATGTGTGCAGTGAGTGTGCAAACAGAATGTGTGCAGTGAGTGTGCAAACAGAATGTGTGCAGTGAGTGTGCAAACAGAATGTGTGCAGTGAGTGTGCAAACAGAATGTGTGCAGTGAGTGTGCAAACAGAATGTGTGCAGTGAGTGTGCAAACAGAATGTGTGCAGTGAGTGTGCAAACAGAATGTGTGCAGTGAGTGTGCAAACAGAATGTGTGCAGTGAGTGTGCAAACAGAATGTGTGCAGTGAGTGTGCAAACAGAATGTGTGCAGTGAGTGTGCAAACAGAATGTGTGCAGTGAGTGTGCAAACAGAATGTGTGCAGTGAGTGTGCAAACAGAATGTGTGCAGTGAGTGTGCAAACAGAATGTGTGCAGTGAGTGTGCAAACAGAATGTGTGCAGTGAGTGTGCAAACAGAATGTGTGCAGTGAGTGTGCAAACAGAATGTGTGCAGTGAGTGTGCAAACAGAATGTGTGCAGTGAGTGTGCAAACAGAATGTGTGCAGTGAGTGTGCAAACAGAATGTGTGCAGTGAGTGTGCAAACAGAATGTGTGCAGTGAGTGTGCAAACAGAATGTGTGCAGTGAGTGTGCAAACAGAATGTGTGCAGTGAGTGTGCAAACAGAATGTGTGCAGTGAGTGTGCAAACAGAATGTGTGCAGTGAGTGTGTAAACAGAATGTGTGCAGTGAGTGTGTAAACATCGAGTGTGAGCAGTGAGTGTGCAAACACAGAATGTGTGCTTTGAGTGTGAACATCGAGTGTGTGCAGTCAGTGAGTGTGAGTGTGCAAACAGAATGTGTGCAGTGAGTGTGCAAACAGAATGTGTGCAGTGAGTGTGCAAACAGAATGTGTGCAGTGAGTGTGCAAACAGAATGTGTGCAGTGAGTGTGCAAACATTGAGTGTGCAAACACAGAATGTGTGCTGTGAGTGTAAACATTGAGTGTGTGCAGTGAGTGCAAACACAGAATGTGTGCTGTGAGTGTGAACATCGAGTGTGTGCAGTGAGTGTGCAAACACAGAATGTGTGCAGTGAGTGTGAGTGTGCAAACAGAATGTGTGCTGTGATTGTGAACATCAAGAGTGTGCAAACACAGAATGTGTGCAGTGAGTGTGAACATCGAGTCTGTGCAGTGAGTGTGCAAACACAGAATGTGTGCTGTGAGTGTGATCATCGAGTCTGTGCAGTGAGTGTGCTGTGAGTGTAAACATTGAGTGTGCAGTGAGTGTGCAAACAAAGAATGTGTGCTGTGAGTGTGAACATCAAGAGTGTGCAAACACAAAATGTGTGCAGTGAGTGTGAACATCAAGAGTGCAAACACAGAATGTGTGCAGTGAGTGTGAACATCGAGTCTGTGCAGTGAGTGTGCAAACAAAGAATGTGTGCTGAGTGTGAACATCAAGAGTGTGCAGTGAGTGTGCAAACACAGAATGTTTGCAGTGAGTGTGAACATCGAGTGTGTGCAGTGAGTGTGCAAACACAGAATGTGTGCTGTGAGTGTGAACATCGAGTGTGTGCAGTGAGTGTAAACATAGTGTGTGCAGTGAGTGTGCAAACACAGAATGTGTGCAGTGAGTGTGAGTGTAAACATTGAGTGTGTGCAGTGAGTGTGCAAACACAGAATGTGTGCTGTGAGTGTGAACATCGAGTGTGTGCAGTGAGTGTGCAAACACAGAATGTGTGCAGTGAGTGTGAACATCGAGTCTGTGCAGTGAGTGTGCAAACACAGAATGTGTGCTGTGAGTGTGATCATCGAGTCTGTGCAGTGAGTGTGCTGTGAGTGTAAACATTGAGTGTGCAGTGAGTGTGCAAACAAAGAATGTGTGCTGTGAGTGTGAACATCAAGAGTGTGCAAACACAGAATGTGTGCAGTGAGTGTGAACATCGAGTGTGAGCAGTGAGTGTGCAAACACAGAATGTGTGCAGTGAGTGTGAGTGTAAACATTGAGTGTGTGCAGTGAGTGTGCAAACACAGAATGTGTGCTGTGAGTGTGAACATCGAGTGTGTGCAGTGAGTGTGCAAACACAGAATGTGTGCTGTGAGTGTAAACATTGAGTGTGTGCAGTGAGTGCAAACACAGAATGTGTGCTGTGAGTGTGAACATCAAGAGTGTGCAAACACAGAATGTGTGCAGTGAGTGTGAGTGTAAACATTGAGTGTGTGCAGTGAGTGTGCAAACACAGAA